CGGGCCGGGGTGCACGCCCCGCCTTGGTGCTGGACAGCTCCGCGCAGCGGGGGGCCCTGTCCAGTCGGCGCCCTCTGGCCCTGGATCCCAGTGCACAAGGCAGGCTGAGAACCCAAGGTCCCCAGGCCAACTCCTGCCAGGCCTCTTCCCAGGCCCTCCCGAGCTCGCTGTCCTGGGGAGGCGCACGGAGGGCAGACTGGTAGAAAGTGACAGGGAGGCGTTGCGCAGCTCCGCAGCCCGCTTAGGGCACCTGAGGACAGGACAGAGCAGTGGCCTTGCTCCCAGAGAGATGTCCCTGTTCATGCCTCTCTGACCCATCCTTTTCCTTTGCCACAAGCCAAGTGGTCCTTGTGGCCTCCCTTAGATGGATCTGTCCGTGAGCACAAGGCCTGAAGACACCCGTGGACATTCTGGAAACCGTGGACATTCCTTCCACCCCTGAGTACAAGCCTCCTTCCGCAGAGGCAGTGGGAAATGGAGAGGAGGCCTGTTTCTCCAGCTTGGGGAAGCCACTTGGGACCTCTTGGCTAAAGAGCTTGGTCAGGAGAGGTAGAAACCTGAGGAGACGCAGGGGTGGGCTAGGTCCAGCAGAAGCGAGTCTCCTTCCTGAGACTGATGCGAAATCAGAAGTCCCCAGAGGTGTCCCCCGTGGTATGTTCTGTCGGAGTGGAGGCTCGGGACCCCTCTCTGCCCTTATTAATGTTCTCGGTGTGGGAGAGAAAGTTGGAAGCAGCTGGTGTAACCTAGTGGAGGTGGTAGAAGAGTAACTCGCTGTCTCACTGTCACTGTGCAGACCAACTGGATTTTCATTTTTAATTTTGGAAAAAACAGCTTTCTGTTTCTCTGATTTTTCTTCTTCTCTCTGTTTGAATTCTTTGGTGATGTTTTTCCAAAGCAGACTTCTGGAGAGATGTCTGAAAGGATTTCAAAATCAAGATCACACGATAAATTATTTGTGGCCAAAACACTAGCCTGGGGGCCTTCGGGATAAACATTTCCCCCAAACTTATCAAGGTTTTGGGCATTTCTGTGCAACAAAAAATGTTCACCTGAATAGGGACACTGGTAGGGAGGGCCTGAAGTTTCCTTTCTACTCGAGTTTGCTTTCTGCTTCAGTGGAGGTTTGGCAAGCGAAGTCATCAGCATTCCGCCCATGTCTCAGAAGTCTTAAGGCGAAAGGGGGAGACATGTGACTCCTGTATAGACTTATCAAAGTGCCCTCCCACCTATGAACCAAGTAATAAAAACCACAAAACATCACTGTGTCTAAAACTCCGGGGGGGCCCTATCCATTCACACCCCACTGTCCACCCTCCTAAACCCACACAGCAGGGAACACCCCCACCCTCCCAACCCCCAGGGACTTCAGGTTGATTAAAGCCAACTGTTCCTTTTGCATAATAGTGCAAGATCCTAAAACAAAAAAAATGACCCTCTCTATTTAAAAAATATATATTTTTTTGGCTTTTTGTTTTTTGACATAGGCTTTATCTTGGTAACTGCATTTGCTGGCACAAACTTATTCTCTGCCTATATTGACACCTGAACTACCTAATACCCCATTTCCAGGTTAGCCCTAGGGTGACCTAGTGCCCAGAGATGAAGCCTCATACCTATCGGGGTCAAGCTAAGGGAAAGAGTTTAGGGACTGGGAAACCATCGTCTGTATCAGCATTACTGGCAATAGCACCCCCCTAAGCCAGCCCCCTAATTGGAATGCAGAATTTTCACTGTGGCCAGGTGAATAAACTAAATGGGTGCAAATCAACGTGGATAAATCTCAACATAATGTTGGGTGAAAAAAGCAAACTGTTAGTAGATACAAGCAATTTATGACTTATGTGAAAATTTAAAGCAGATAAAACACTGTGATGCGTGGGTCACAGGTACTTAGTTTTGTATCTAGTCAGGATAGAAATGAAGAGCAGGGGCCCTCCCCGGTGGTGTAATGGGTTAGGACACAGCACTGCAAGCTAGCAGCAGCCACTTCAGTGCGAGTTTGATCCCCAGTCCCAGGGGTGACCCACATGGTGCAGCAGACCTCTCCTGTCTCCCCACTGCCCCCCCCTCAGCAGTGTACTTCGTTGATCTGCCTGTTCTGCTCTCCAATCTGTCTCTGGTGAATCCTCTCACTACCCCTGCACCTCTGGCCTGTACCCCAGTTCTGCATCATAAGTAAATAAATCTTTAAAAAAAGAAGAAGAAAAAAGAACGAAATGAAGAACAGGAACCATGCACTGGGCTGGGCTGGGACAGGAAGGTGAGGAGAATGGGATGGGGCTGGATTCCCTGCCTCACAGATGCTGGAGGGGACTCTTTCCTGCAGGCTGGGGCTTAGGACACAAGAGACAGAGACCTGAAGAGAAAGCAGTGTTTGTGGAAGCAGCTGCTTCGCCTCTAGGTAGGCAGAGACTCTAGGGAGCAGAGTTGCAATGGGGAGTCACAGGCATGCTATCACCTGTATGGATGGGCCAAACACTGAAGGACATAGAAACCCCTGAAAATCACAAGAGCATCATGCGTGCACCTGCAGAGATCTGTTTACGGTACAGAAGGAGCAGTGAGTTTGGAGAGAGAATGGTTGATCTGGGCTCTTCAGACTGAGTAGGAGTTTTCCCAGGGGAGGATGGTTAGCTAATGGCTGCAAGTCCCCCTGACCTTGGGGACAGCCTCTCAGTGGCTGTGTGCAGCTCCCACAAGTGCCCGATGTGAATTTCGTTGAGCCATCTGATCCCAAAGGAGACACTCTTTGGGGAGGGGGGTGTGTGCTTGTCCTGACCTTTCCTAATCCAGCCTTGGGGCTCCCTGTGCCACCTCTGGATTCAAGCTTTCTTAATCTGTCACCTTTATTTGTGTGGCAGCAACAGGGTTAAGGGACAAGGCTTTTCTGTTAACAAGCCTCAGGGCTCTGATGGGCTTGCTCCATTAATAATTTAGTGAGGTGGACTGAATTGGATTGATTCTGTCCCAAATCAATACACCAATGATTATTGTTTCAGGGCATGTCTGAGGGCCTTGGCAAGGCCAAGGGGAGCTCTTTGATTGAAAATTGGAGGGCTCTCATCACTCAAAATGACTGTGGAGAGGGTTATGTAAACCGAGGGGGTGACCCGGTGCTAACATTTTTATTGCAATGAAAGACTTTTCTTTTGGAATGGTGCTTTTATGATGTACTTACTACCACTGTTCCAGATGTATAATTTTTAAATTACTGCTCAATACTGAAGGTGAAATAATTTTACTGCCACAGGTCTATTAGAGTTGTAATGGCCACATGGACGGAGCCCAGGGCTGGTCAGGGGTCTGTGGTGAGAGCCCCAGGGTGCCTCACAGGGTGGGGCAGGCTCAATTCCACTTCGGCTCTCCCCCTCCCACACACCCCATCAGGCCACTGCTCCAGATCAGAGACTCCTATATGGCTGTGTGGGCCCGCAGAACTCCATGGAAATGTGCCCACCTGGAATTTTGTCTATTTATCCTTGATAGTTTGTACTGTGGTAAAATATTTTGCACAACATTGATCACATTAACAGTTTTTAAGAGTGTGGTTCGGTGATGTGAAGTTCATTCACAGACTTTTCTAACTCTCGCCACCATCCATCTCCATTTTCTTGAACTGCAATGCTATACCTATTAATCAATCACTCCCCCACTCTCCCTGCCCCGCAGTCCCCACAACCACCATTCTGCTTTCTGTCTCTGTGAATATGGATCACTGAAGTAGAATCGTGCAGTATTTGTCTTTTGTGACTGACTTAGGTCATTAGCATACTGTCCTCAAGGTTCATCTAAGTTGCTACCTGTATCAGAATCTCCTTCTTTTTTATTTACTTATTTTTACCGGCATTTATCTGCCTTGTTTCTTTTTTTTTAAGATTTATTTATTTATGCATACAAAAGCTGGGGTACAGGCCAGAGGTGGGGAGAGAGGGTGTGAGGACTCACCCGAGACAGAGTGGAGTGGGGAGCAGAACAGGCAGACTGACTGAAACACACTGATGAGGGGAACAGTAGGCAAGACAGGAGAGGCCTGCTGCGCCATGTGGGCCACCTCCCTGGCTGGGGATGGAACTCATGCTGCAGTACCTTCAGCTAGCTTCATAATGCTGAGACAACCCATTGCTCCACCAAGGAGGCCTTCTCCTTCCTTTTTAATGGCTGAATACTATTCCATCCTACAGACCAGCTTTCACTTATCCATTCATCAGTTGAGAGACACTTGGGTCAATGATGGACACTGTTTGGTTATTCAAAAATGCTGCTCTGACCCTGAGGGTTCAGTAGCTTCTGGAGATCCTGTCTTCTACATTTTGCCAATTTACCCGCAAGTAGGAGTCCTGGGTCACCTGCTCACTCTAGGCTTAACCTTTTGAGGAACAGCCAAACATTTCTACAGCAGCTGCACCATGTTACATTCCCACCAGCCATGTACAAGGATCCAGGCTCCATCCACA